TCAATATTGAGAGTCATTACGTAAACATCGCAATGTACAAACCATTAAAGGGTAGTTCATATATGAAACTTTCAGGGGACATTAGTAATCCAAAGTGTGGGCTCATCAATATGAAGAACAATGACGACATGTGTTTCCTGTGGAGTCATGTGAGACATCTGAATCCTAAGGCTAGAAGAGCAACCACTATCACACAGAAAGACAGGGAATTCATAACGAACCTGGACTATGACGGTATAGACTTCCCTGTGAAGATAAGTGACATCGATAAGATTGAGAGGAAAAATAGTATCAACATATCGTGTTCGGTTACAAGGGTAAGAAACAGTTCTATCCTATAAGGAACTCCAAGGCTAAATATGATGAGCATATGGAGCTTCTACTCCTGGGTGATGGTGAAGGTAGTAGACATTACGTTCTCATAAAGGATGTTAACAGAATGTTGCACAGTGTGAGTAAACATGGACACAAGCAACACTTCTGTCTACACTGTCTTCATAGTTGTGTGAGCAAAGAGGTACTGGAGAAGCATAAGGAAACATGTCTGGAGGTAAATGGAACTCAGGCTGTAAAGCTTCCCAAGGAAGGGACAAAAATCAAGTTCAAAAATCACAGGAACTCAATGCCTGTGCCGTTTGTGATATACGCTGATTTTGAGTCCATACTAGTACCAGAGGAGAGAAAAGTGGAGTCAGAAAACCCTGAGGATAAAAGTAGTACAGACCTTTACCAGACACACAAGGCTTGTAGTTTTGGTTTGAAGACTGTCTGCCACTATGATGATAAGTACTCCGGTGAGTATAAGAGTTACGTTGGAGAGGATGCTGCATTGGTCTTCCTAAAGACTGTATTGAAAGAGTCCTTCAGATGTAGAGAGATGGTCAACAATATATTCAAGAAAAAGATGGTAATTACACCCAAACAGGAATTCGAATTCCAGGCTGCAAGAAACTGCTCAATATGTGGTAACGACCTTGGTGAGGATAGGGTAAGGGATCATGACCATGTAACAGGAATGTACCGTGGAGCTGCTCACAATATATGTAATCTAAAGTACAGAATTACATGGAAAGTGCCTGTGGTCTTCCACAACCTGAGAGGTTACGATAGTCATCTGATTATGCAGGAAATTGGTAAGTTCAAGATGAACGTCAACGTGATTCCAAATAATATGGAAAAATACATCTCATTCTCACTGGGTAAGAATCTGGTCTTCATAGACTCTATACAGTTCATGGCTTCTTCACTGGAAGCACTGGTAAGTAACCTTTCACCTGAGGACTTCAGAATAGTAGGTAAGAGGTGGAAGGGTGAGGACTTCAATCTAGTGACCCAAAAAGGAGTGTTTCCATATGAGTTCCTCGATGACATTAGCAAACTCAATACAGAAGGTCTTCTGAGTAAGGATAAGTTCTACTCATCACTGTATGAGTCAGAGGTGAAGGAAGAAGATTACCAGAGTGCTCAGAAAGTATGGGATCACTTCAAGATGAAAACCATGAGAGACTACCACGATCTTTACTTGGAGACCGACGTTCTTCTGCTGGCTGATGTGTTTGAGAACTTCAGGAGAACATGTCTGGAAAGTTATGAACTTGACCCCGCACATTACGTGTCAGCACCTAGTCTGAGTTGGGACGCTTTCTTGAAAAAGTCAGGTGAAGAAATAGAACTTGTAAGTGATATGGATATGTTTCAGTTCTTTGAGAAGGGTATGAGAGGTGGTACAAGTTATATTGCTCATAGACACTCCACAGCTAATAATAAGTACATGGAGACGTACGATGAGTCGTCTGAGAACAAGTACCTAATGTACCTCGACGCTAATAATTTATATGGCTGGGCAATGTCACAACCACTACCTAACGGAGAGTTTGAGTGCGTTGAGGAAGTTGATGGTATGAATCTAGAGGATTACTTGGGAAACAACGAAAGAGGGATGGTTTTGGAGGTTGACCTGGAATATCCACAAGGACTTCACGACCTACATAACGGTTATCCTCTAGCACCGGAGAGTAAGGAAATCAGTGCTTCTATGTTGTCAGGTTATGCGAAGAGTATTGCTGAGAAATTTCAACTGACAATTGGAGGAGTAAGAAAACTAGTGACTTCACTAGGTCCCAGGAAGAAGTACGTCTTACATGTACGTAATCTAAAACTGTACACAGACCTTGGGATGAAACTCACGAAGGTCCATAGAGCGGTTACGTTCAAGCAGTCTCCCTGGCTTAAGGACTATATAGACTTCAATACGAAGAAAAGGTCTGCAGCCCGTAATACATTCGAAAAGAACTTCTTCAAGTTGATGAACAACTCAATCTACGGAAAGACTATGGAGAATCTTAGGAAAAGGGTTGATGTAAATTTAGTGTCCTCCAAAGACGACCTCCTAAAACTGACAGCATCACCGTGCTCCCAGTCACATCGAATCATGAATGAGAATCTCGTAGTGGTAAAGCGAATGAAAGAAGTTCTAACGCTGAATAAGCCGTGTTACGTAGGAATGAGCATCTTAGACTTATCCAAGACTTTAATGTACGATTTCCACTACAACACCATCAAGAAGGAGTACGGTAATAATTCAAGGCTACTGTTCACTGATACTGACAGTCTAATGTATGAACTGAAGACGAATGATGTTTATGAGGACTTTAAGAGAATTGGTGAAAAGCAAAACTGTTGGGATAATTCAGATTATCCAAAAGATTCTCCGTACTACTCAACTCACAACAAGAAGTTTATAGGTAAGTTTAAGGATGAAGCTGAAGGAGTACCCATAATTGAGTTTGTTGGGTTAAGATAAAAAATGTACTCCTATGTTAAGGAAAATGGTGGAGGTAGAATGACTGCCAAAGGAGTTAAAAAGTATGTCATCAGAAACAAGCTCACTCATGAGAACTTCAAGAATGTAATTAACACGAAGGGTAGGATGAGACATAATATGAATACAATCAGGAGCATGAAACATACAATTGGAACTTACGAATTGAAGAAGGTTACTCTTAGCTGTTTTGATGACAAAAGATACTTACTTGAAGATGGAATTACAAGTTACGCCTATGGACACCACGCAATTGGAAAAACAGACGTTGAAGGGGTGATTGAAGAAAAAATAGAACCTAGCTGTGTACCAGTAAGAGTGGAAGAAAAAAATGATAAGTACTAGCCCAGATTACCATTTAAGGTTGTGGTGCCTGCTAAAAGGTGGAAGTTTAAAAAACTGCAACCGTTAAGAATGCTGGTGCCTGATATTAATCACATAAGGAACAACCTGGATATACTACCTCCAGAATCAAAGCAAAACTTGAAAATGTTAATAAAACTAAAAATGCAGGCATTAGGTTTGGCACTTAAGAAGTAACATCTAAAATGGGTATTGTGGAGGTTGTATAAGGTACTAATCAGTGCTTTAAAATTAGGATCTAACAATTTTATGGAAAGGATGTGTGTACCCCCAAGGAGAAAATAAAAGATGTCGAAGAGGCTCTGGAATAGGGAGGTTGGACGATATTGGGAAAGTGTAGGATAATCGTATTAGGGTCTCAGCTGGACTGGTAAGGTAATCCCGAAGCTTTGAGATAAGTTAAATGAAAAACAAGAATAGCAGTTTTACATTCTAATTAAATGGACCAACCATTAATTTTAATATAATAAAAATAAATACTTTTTACTGAAGATAAAAAACTAGTGGTCTAGAAAAAAAAAGCCAGTGGTCTAGAAAAAAAAACTAGTGGTCTAGAACCGGCAGTTCCTATACTACTCATATAGATTTAATAACTCGAATATTCAATGCAATTTACAAAAAATTCATATTCTAAAATTATATATGGGGCACTCAGAGCCATCGTGATTTATGCATGTGTTGGTAATAATCCGGGTTTCGTTTGACGCCTGATATATCCCAGACTGAAATGTAATATTCCCAGTATCATTCCCAGTGAGAGGTCCATGCACTCTTACAATACAAGAAATAAAGATCATCTTGTTAGAGTATACCTGCCATAAATACTCACTGGGAACAATTAAGAACAAACTATCATTTTACTAAGGATTGGAATATGTTAGCCTGAATTTTAAGTCTCATGCAGTATTGGAATTTGTATTCGTGGTTTTTAAATCTAGTTTGAACTCTTTTCGCAATTTTAAATAGTGACCAGCACTCTTACTCGTATGATTATAGATATAGTTTAGTGTAATATGCTGTATATGGATCTGCTTTACTATCTTTTAATGTTTTACCTTTATTGATTGTATTTTAATAATCCGAGCGCCTGCATGAAAAACACTTTCGAGTGATTGTGGCTCCCTCATAAAATACGTTCATAAAAAAAATGGGTGCATGATTTGAAATTTTGAAAATTTGCATTTTGAAATTTGAAAACTGTTTGTATTTCATAGCCGTCATTTCCTGTAGTTGAGTTAAGACGGATATGAAGTAAAATAATTATAGTCTTCAAGCCATTAATGCTGGCTCTTTCTTGAATCTTATAAATCATTTAAAAATATCCTTGAAACGTAGAATTCCTTTTAAAAAATCCATGGCTCCTGAGTAATTTAGAACGTTGTTCTTTTGTTCTCTTTTAAATCTTATATATATATAGTTTAAAAAAAAATTAAACAAAGACTGTTAAATTCAACTGCTGCCCACATAAATTCAAGTATTTCCAAGTAAGCCATTATTAAATCAATAATTTTTCTCCCCCTTTTTTCCAAGAACGAACTAAACAAAGAAGCAATGTTATAAGATACATACATAACTGCATTAAAGTCTGTGATTTTAGTAGAGGCATAAGCTATAGGTGGAGTCGGGAAACCAAAAATCCCGAGGGGTTTTTTGCCTAATAGAGTTTCGACATATATTTTCATATATCTAGATAACTGACACCATTTAAAAGCATTGATATCTTTCTTCTTTCAGTGAGGTCGATATTTGCATGAAACTCGGACTATCGACTACATGCAGCCAGTAATGAGATAAACATGAATTATTTTAAATAATTTCAGCACACCAGTTGATCGACAAATTGGTTTAATCAAGATTACATCATTTGGATTACATGTTCCTACATTTCAATTTAGATTACATAAAGTACCAACCCTTGATTGCATTTCGCAATGCGAAGTTTTTAACCATGCAATTCTGATAATTGAAAAATGTTGATTAAAATAAAGCAAGTATATGATAATTATCAACTTAAAGTAAAATTAATATCGTGCTATTAGCACTATAGGCTATGATTATATAATTATAGTCCCCTACTATTCAAAATTTACTGTGATTTAATCTTGTTCCTTTACTATACTAATTAGCCAATGTGAATATGTTAAATGGATCTTAAATGCGAATGACCCGATTTACGCTAGAGACGGCCAAATTTGGACGAATTTTTGCGAGCGGAAAAATTAAGATATTTCGACGACATTAGACCAGCTATCAGGAAAATATCAGGCATGATTTGTTCCCAAAACCACTAAGGGATGAAAATTGAAAGAAATATAATGAGAAATGTTGACAGGTTAAACGATGAGCCATGCTCACAGTTTCCCTGCAATATTTTATTTCGTCTGGATGGTTTATCTATCGTGTTTACACTAAACTTTAAGGTCATGTCACACGAGGCAACGTTTGCTGCAACTTCAGATATACAGAGCCAAATGAGTGAGTCATGTTATCTAAAACGTAGTTACAGAGAAATAATGAACATGGCCCGCATACTACTCAGGCGAAACTTTATATGTACTACTTAAAACATGCACAGCAGTGTTTTATCAGGTACAAAGATACCAGACGAAGCCGAGTATCTTTAGGTCTGATAGAACACGCACTGCGGATGTTTTAAGTTGCTTCAAAAACGATCGATCTTATAAGTTCATTGGCGAAGTAATTTTCAAAAAAATACGTTGTGTAAGTCAAGTAAATCAAAGTTAAAGTTTATGTAAATCAAGGGAAATCTTTATCACATATAAAGATACGTGACATGCTTATGATTTTTTTTGTTTTTTCCTCATGAATTACACATAACATATTCTAAAGGATGAAAATGAAAGAAACGGGATGTAAAATGTCAACAGAGTAAACCGTGGACCATGCTCAGAAATTTCCAATCTTTTATAGCTAGCAATTAAGGCTCTTCTGTGACAGACACTGCATTGCAAGTTACAGCAAATATTGGATCGTGCAACATATGACCGAATGACCCGTCTGACAGACGATGTGTTTTGACGAATGATCCATCTCTAGTGTAAATCGGACAACTCAGTTCTTTTAACGAACCAATATATATGCCATGGCTCTGACATTCTTGTTTCCGTTGTCTGCATTACACCGGGCAAGATTACCCGCGACGTTGGCAGATGTATGCGGAAACCCGCACCATTGCTTGCGATAACTACCTCCAGCTCCCAGGCCTACGTAAGAGTCGGGTGTTTTACAATCATTTTCTTGATTTGCTACAAAACCCAACCGAACTCTTGTGAGCAAACTACCAACTTGTGTGTTAAATCCCTGTTGATTGCAGTTACGCTGTAAGGATGACCCACTGATCAATGATTTCCACTGCGAGCGACCAACACGAGTTTGTCGATAGTTTCCGTCTGCGATCAAATCGTACAGCGATGATGCCGGATACGAGAAGGAGAATGCTCTGAAATTACCACCATATTTCATACCAACACAAATTTCTTTAAATGCGGTTCTCCAGTAAGTCGATCCTTTATATTCTCGGTTGTCTAAACCGCCGTTTCGCCCATAGGCATAGTCATTGTAAAAGTTTTTGTTCGTCCAATAGAAGGAGCTGTAGTTAAAAGTACTCTATAAAAACAAATGCGTTAAGAAACTAGAGGACACTCTGAGCCTGCATACCTCCGCCATCGGATTAACTATTATGTATAAATTATATCGTGCATTAATTATACAATGAGTTAATTGCACATTCGGTTTATTTTGCCGGGCAAAGCAAGACAAACTTTAAACAAACACAAATTTTAAACAAACACAAACTTTAAACAAACACAAACTTTAAACAAACACAAACTTTAAACAAACACAAACTTTAAACAAACACAAACTTTAAACAAACACAAACTTTAAACAAACACAAACTTTAAACAAACACAAACTTTAAACAAACACAAACTTTAAAGGTGCCCTACAGTCCGATCTGCGCATGTGTACAAAGGAGCCCACTTTTTATGATACAAACAGTTTATCTATGTTTTGGGTTCTTGCAAAGCCTGATTGTTGTTTCTTGATCATTTATTATACTCTAGAAGCTTGAAGATATGAATAGTTGTCGAATAAAGCTCAATATTTTGGACACAAAAATGTAAACAAAGGCTTTGTTTACATACGGACTGTAGGGCACCTTTAAACAAACACAAACTTTAAACAAACACAAACTTTAAACAAACACAAACTTTAAACAAACACAAACTTTAAACAAACACAAACTTTAAACAAACACAAACTTTAAACAAACACAAACTTTAAACAAACACAAACTTTAAAGGTGTCCTACAGTCCGATCTGCGCATGTGTACAAAGGAGCCCACTTTTTATGATACAAACAGTTTATCTATGTTTTGGGTTCTTGCAAAGCCTGATTGTTGTTTCTTGATCATTTATTATACTCTAGAAGCTTGAAAATATGAATAGTTGTCGAATAAAGCTCAATATTTTGGACACAAAAATGTAAACAAAGGCTTTGTTTACATACGGACTGTAGGGCACCTTTAAACAAACACAAACTTTAAACAAACACAAACTTTAAACAAACACAAACTTTAAACAAACACAAACTTTAAACAAACACAAACTTTAAACAAACACAAACGAAAACTTGTAAAATCATCCTATCTTGTAAAATATGTTGGACTTCAAATGCCTAGGGTGAATTTGTTTGATATTGTCTTCTATTAAGTCTTTTATGGCGTGTGAGCCATGTAAGTATGGTGAGATTCGTGGTGAGATTCGTTTCTATATTGATCTCATTGTCACATATACGCGCACACGCACACAAACACGCACACAAACACGCACGCGCATGCACACGCAAACGCAAACGCAAACGCACACGCAAACGCACACGCACACGCACACGCACACGCACACGCAAACGCAAACGCAAACGCAAACGCAAACGCAAACGCAAACGCAAACGCAAACAAACAAACAAGCGAGCAGACGGATGGACGAACGAAAAAACGCGGACGAAAACATGGAATTTGTATACAGGACAACTTGCATCGCCGTACAAGTATATTTGTGCTGTGATTCGCAGATACATAATCATTAAGTCTGCACGCGCGCTTACCAAGCTTCCGTCAATCTTCATCACCATTGTCCAACCACCGCCTTTGCATCCTGAGACGTTAGTCATTTGACAGTACACGTCGATAAATTTATTGTTCCCGACACTGATTTGGTAAACACCATTTCCATTGTTTCTGTAAGATAAACGAAATATTTTTTAGCTTATAGTTTTCTGTTTACACTGAATTTACGCAATTTAATGGAAACTGATTTAATCTATATCTCTACCAAAACCAAAAACGAATCTCCTCAAGCGAAGCTTTAGATATAGTGGGTCCATGTTGTGGAACAATGGTATAATTGTATTTGTAGTTGTGGATGTAGTAGTATAGTTACGGACTAGTAGCAATTACGACCCTTCTGTAAACCAGCTTGGTTTTTATTTTAAAATAGTTGTGAGAGGCTAGGGAGTAACGTGATGAAATAAAAGCCAAATATGTGTGTAAGTGTATATGCATGTATTTTACCTTGGACTCATCAATATTTGTTTGCATGATTCATATGTCAGCACTTCAAGGTCTTTAAAAACAAAAAGAGCAGCATCAGCGACTTTAACGACAAATTATACCAGAACGTTTACCTTTTGACAGTCCGAGATGTGGTTCCAATGGTCCAACTAACTGAGCAGCAGCCGAAGGTAAAAGGCAGGTCATAGGCAGGATATCAGGGACAGTATATATAAACAATTATATTCATTTAATCGTTACAAACGCCGTTAACATGCAGAAATTGTGAATTGAAAAGTTTTATTATATAAACATAAGTATTATATAGAGGTTTTGGCTACTGAGAAATATCGTATTTAAACACACGTAAAAAAAACGATATTTTTACGTGTAAAAATATCATTTGTTGTAAAACGCATTGCCACGGACATGTTATTGTTTTCACTGAATTTTGTTTATATAATAAACAGAAAAATACAGAAAAATACATCTATATACTGCATGGTGTGAAAATTAGCCTGAAAACAGACCTACGTTTCGCCCGCCCTAAAATTCGCGGGTCGAGGGAAAGGGCGAAACGTAGGTCTGATGAAAATGTTGTCAAAAGTGCATTCCGCCCACTTTGCATTTTGTAATAATTAACATTTATTATAACACCTAAAAATACACCAAAAGTTGTCGATTTCATTTTATTGAAAATGTGTAAACAAAGTCGATAAGTACAGATGTTTGAATAAATATTTAAACCCCATGCACTCCGTTGCTTTTATATACTCGACTAAATTGTATTGCGCTGACACACATATTGATATATTTGTATCATTGGATGACTTGTATCAGTTTTATTTATATGATTAATCACAAAACTTAGCTCATTTAGAATTATTATATTAGATATATTGTATTGTATATTACAACGGAAAGACACAACGCTGAAGTATTTGACGCGTAGTGCACTACTTAGTCTGCCAACCCAGACGTAATTTCCAAGTTTCTCGCTCGGTTATTTTCCGACGTTTCTCGCTCGGTTATTTTCCGAGCGAGAAATGAGGAAATTACGTCTGAGTTCGCAGACTACACTCTACTCCCCTCTAGTTGTAATTTTTAGACGGTATATAATCACTGATAGACTAGTTGTCGTTCGACCTTACAAAGTACTTAGAATATTACTCTATATGCATATTATATATTCATATGCGTTGACTTACCGTTGAAATATATTCTGATTTCTGATCTTTTCAAATCTTTTCATGTTAGCGACCAACCAATCACAACCAATTTCACTGTGAATTAGCCAACCAGCTTTGTCGACCGCCTGGCGATCGACTTACATGCACTTTTGACAACATTTTCATCAGACCTACGTTTCGCCCTTTCCCTCGACCCGCGAATTTTAGGGCGGACGAAACGTAGGTCTGTTCTCAGGCTATGTGAAAATAAAAACATAATACATAAGACATAAAGACGATGTTAGTACCTTTGATCACATGCCATTGATATTTTCCATGACGTTGGATACAAACCGCGACATCATCATCACCATTTCGATCTTTAGCAACAATAAATTTCCCTCTCTTCTGTTGTGTGCAAGTGCCAGGACGTTGCGCATTTACCTGCATGAGTGTTTATGTTTATATATGTATATATATATATATATATATATATATATATATATATATATATATATATATATATATATATATATATATATATATTAAATAACATATATATATATATTAAATAACATATATATATATATATATATATTAAATAACATATATATATATATTAAATAACATATATATATATATATATATATATATATATATATATATATATATATATATATATATATATATATATATATATATATATATATATATATATATATATATATATATATATATATATATATATAGAGTGTGTATTATAATATAATTTCCATACCCAACGCAAGCAGAAAGATGTTGTCTGCCGCGGCTGGGTCTTGAACCCGCGACCTTCCAATTACTAGATCGACGCTCTACCAACTGAGCTTGCAGAACTAGTATTGTTCGATAAGACTTGCTGAACAAGAATTGTTCGATGCTGAATTAATACTAAAACGAGTATGTTTATGACATTCAGTATATATTTCATAATTTCCAGTCTTAAATCCGTCTGACCGTGTAGCTCAGTTGGTAGAGCGTCGATCTATTAATTCGAAGGTCGCGGGTTCAAGACCCAGGCAGTGGCGGCGCCAGCCTTTTAAAAGTGGGGG